AGTAACTATATGTATAGTGAAAATCTGGTATTTTGAGATTTTCTCACCAATGGTTTGGATTACGATTGATCCAAGGACACCATTAGATAGAGCTCGTCGAGTTGTACTTGAAACGCTGCTGGAACGGTTGGAACGCGCTCCTGAACGAATATGGGCGGGTTTTAGTAACCATATGTATAGTGAAAATCTGGTATTTTGAGATTTTCTCACCAGTGGTTTGGATTACGATTGATCCAAGGACACCATTAGATAGAGCTCGTCGAGTTGTACTTGAAACGCTGCTGGAACGGTTGGAACGTGCTCCTGAACGAATATGGGCGGGTTTTAGTAAGTAGGTTTGGTTTTTCCTAGTGAAAAAGTGCAGTATTTTGGATTTTTCTCATGATTGGTTTGGGCTATGGAAAATCCAAAGTTACCATTAGATAGAGCTCGTTGAGTTCTACTTGGAACGCTGATTGGTACACTTGGAACGCTTTCCTGAGCGAATATGGGAAGGATTTACTCGAATATGGTGCTAACTTCACCTACGTCGAATACCTACATTTTTTTTTATTGTGTTGCTTTGAGTAATTTTGTATTGTTGAAGCCAATCTAAAATATAAAAAGAAAAGATTAGAATTTGATTCAATAAATTGAATGATTTTTACATGGAAAATCATTCATATTTATATGTTAAAAAATCGATATTTTACTTTTTTTTTCGTCAGAGAGTGATCAAAAGGCGATAATAATTAAGCTATCATCAACATATACACATACATTGAGATAAATTCAATCACAAATATCTCAATGTATGTGTATGGGATAATGCTTAATTGATATATACAATCATTATGTCATATTATCATTGATCATCAATGATAACCCGAACAATGACGACTTACGGACGAGAGAAGAAAAGAAAAAAAAAAAATTGTCGTGACCTATATTTTTTTTTCATTCTTCTCTCGTTTCCATATTCAGTTGTGAACACAAAACAGACGAGCGCATAATATTGAAGTATGTTCATATCATTCACTTCTTTTTTGTTCTGTTCCATAGATCAACTTTGGGATATGAATAAACAGTTTATTTTATTTTAGTTCAATTTAAATGAAATCATTGAAAAATGATTGATATTGAATTTTAACAGTTCATTCAACATTACATTTATTTGCTGCTGGTAAGATTCTTTTCATTTTCAAAAATTAAAAGTAAAATAAAATATTTGTTTGCTAGGTCATGATAATCAAATATTCACGATGATTGGAAATTAGAACATCAAAAGGTGTTCCTCTAATGTAATTACAAAAGTAAATTTTTTCAGAATTTTTTAAAATAAATTAATTGTTTTATTTTATTTAATAATATTG